TGACCCCAAAAATCCCTTTTGTGACCCCCAAAATCCCTTTTGTGACCCCCAAATCCCTTTTGTGACCCCAAAAATCCCTTTTGTGACCCCAAAAATCCCTTTTGTGACCCCAAAATCCCTTTTTGACCCCAAAATCCCTTTTTGACCCCAAAAATCCCTTTTGTGACCCCCAAATCCCTTTTGTGACCCCCAAATCCCTTTTGTGACCCCAAAAATCCCTTTTGTGACCCCAAAAATCCCTTTTGTGACCCCCAAATCCCTTTTGTGACCCCAAAAATCCCTTTTGTGACCCCCAAAAATCCCTTTTGTGACCCAAAAAATCCCTTTTGTGACCCCAAAATCCCTTTTGTGACCCCAAAAATCCCTTTTTGACCCCCAAAAATCCCTTTTGTGACCCCAAAATCCCTTTTTGACCCCAAAAATCCCTTTTGTGACCCCAAAAATCTCTTTATGACCCCAAAAATCTCTTTATGACCCCAAAGATCCTTCTCTGACCCCCAAAAATCCCTTTCTTCCCTTAAAAATCCCTTTTTTTCCCTTAAAAATCCCTTTTTTCTCCTAAAAACTCCTTTTTTTCCCTAAATTCCTTTTCTTTTCCCAAAATCCCATTTTCCTCCCACAAATCCCATTTTTTCCCCCCAAAATCCCATTTTCCTCCCAAAAAAAACCCTTTTCCCCTCCCAAAATCCCATTTTTCCCCCCAAAATCCCATTTTTTCCCCCCAAAAATCCCATTTTTTCTTCCCCAAATCCCAATTTTTTCCCCAAATCCCATTTTTTCTTCCCCAAAATCCCATTTTCTCCCCCCAAAATCCCATTTTTTCCCCAAATCCCCTTTTTTCTTCCCCAAAATCCCATTTTTTCCCCCAAAAATCCCATTTTTTCCCCCCAAAAATCCCATTTTTTCCCCCCAAAATCCCATTTTCCCATCCCAAAATCCCATTTTTTCTTCCCCAAAATCCCATTTTTTCCCCCAAAAATCCCCTTTTTTCTTCCCCAAAATCCCATTTTTTCCCCCCCAAAATCCCATTTTTCCCCCCAAAAATCCCATTTTTTCTTCCCCAAATCCCATTTTTTCCCCCAAAAATCCCATTTTTTCCCCCAAAAATCCCATTTTTTCCCCCCAAAATCCCATTTTTTCCCCCCAAAATCCCAATTTTCCCCCCAAAATCCCATTTTTTCCCCCCAAAATCCCATTTTTTCTTCCCCAAATCCCAATTTTTTTCCCCAAATCCCAATTTTTTTCCCCAAATCCCAATTTTTTTTCCCAAAATCCCGTTTTTTCCCCCCAGCCCGGCGCGGACCCTCCCCCGCAGCGCCTCCAGTTTCGAGGGGCGCAGCGTCCCGGCCACGCCCGTCCTGGCCCGGAGCCCCCGCGGGGCCCCCCAGAACCGGTCAGGGGGGGAGGGGCGTGGGGGAGGGGCTGGGGGGGGTCAAGGAGGGGTTTGGGGGGTGGGGGAGGGGCTGGGGGGTGATTTTGGGGTAATTTTGGGGCAATTTCGGGGTAATTTTGGGGTAATTTCGGGGTAATTTTGGGGTAATTTTGGGACTTTTTTTGAGACAATTTTGGGGCAATTTTGGGGCAATTTTGGGGTAATTTTGGGGTAATTTTGGGGCTTTTTTTGAGACAATTTTGGGATAATTTGGGGGCAATTTTGGGGTAATTTGAGGGTAATTTTGAGGCAATTTGGAGTAATTTTGGGGTAATTTGGGGCAATTTTAGGGTAATTTTGGGGCAATTTTGGGGTAATTTTGGGGCTTTTTTTGAGACAATTTTGGGATAATTTGGGGGCAATTTTGGGGTAATTTTGGGGTAATTTGGGGGTAATTTTGGGGCAATTTGGAGTAATTTTGGGGTAATTTTAGGGTAATTTTGGGGTAATTTTAGGGTAATTTTGGGGTAATTTGGGGCAATTTTGGGGTAATTTTGGGGCTTTTTTTGAGACAATTTTGGGATAATTTGGGGGCAATTTTGGGGTAATTTAAGGACAACATGGAGCAAATTTTGGGATAATTTTGGGGGTAATTCGGGGCCAATTTCGGTGCGATTTCAGGGAAAATCTTGGGGTAATTCGGGGTTAATTTGGGGCCAATTCTCAGCCCCTCCCAGCCCCCATCTGACACCCCCTCCCCATTTTTCCCCTCCCCCCTCCCCCAGCCCCGACGCCCCCGGGCTCCCCCCCCGGCCCTGGTCCGGCAGCCAAGACTCCCAACTCGGGGGTCCCGCGGCGCCCCCCGGCCCCCCCATCCCCGGCGCCCCCCGCACCCGCCGCAGCAACAGCTCCGAGGCTTTGATCGACTGGGGCTGCTCCGGGGGGGCTCCGTCCGAGACCCCCACCCCTCCTCTGGAACCTTCATCCTCCTCCTCCTCCTCCTCGCGGCTCCGCGGCGGGGCGGGCGGGGGTCCCGGCGGCTGCGCCCCCCCCTCGGCGGAGCAGCGGCGCAGTCAGAAGTGGCTGGCGCTGGAGGGGCTGCGGGATTGGTACCTGAGACACGCCGGGACCCCTCCCCAGCCCCCCGCCCACCCCGGC